CAAGTTGGACACCAACAGAGAAATGCTTCAAACAGCCATTGGCCAGACAATCTATTCTGCACGCCGCCCGCCTGTCCACGCCAGGGAACCAACCATCAAGTCATGACTCTGAGCTGGATGATTCCGGCGGGCTTCAAGCTCATGCAGATGACGGGGCCTCCCTCCGGGTCTTCCAACACAAGCCTGCACCGAGAGCGCTGCCGCACCTCAGCGCCCACCTCACAGCCAGGAAGCAGGAGGAGGCTGGCGTCTCCTGGGTGCACGGAGGAAACTTAGGGAGAGCGGGTCGGAGGAGCACAGGCCAGCTGTGCCATCACCGCCCTCCCTTCACCAGTGAAGCGGAAGATTGGGAGAGAGGGCCGAGATGGAAATACTGAGGGAGGGCAGGGGGGTGTAGCCTGTTTACTTCTTCTGGCTGCTTCCACAGATCCTCCGTGAGGAAACCAGGAATGCGTTCTCGGAGGCGACACGGGAAGGGACCCGGTGACACGGGCATGTGCCACCAAGTTCTCTGAGAACGCGTGGCCGCCTGCAAGTGGCCAGGCATGGCTGGGACAAAGGACTCTGGCTTTCCTGCAGGCTTCGGGAAAGCAGGCCCCCCTGAAGCAGAAACTCTGAGAACGGTTTCGCTGCTCCACTAGCTCAGGGACTCCTCATGCTCCCTGTCTGCAGAGGCAGGCCCTGTTTCATAAGGACGACCACACCTGGCCTCCAACGTATGCTTTTTCCAAAAAGGGAATGGATCGTGGTAATGGTGTGTGCCATGTTGAATGTAGTCAATGTCACTTTGGCTTCTACACATGAAGAGGGTTGACCTGACAACACACAGTGAAAAGGAGAGTCCATCAGCGAGGCATCCAACAGCAAACACCTTAGAGAAACCACTGCCCTTCATTCACGACAGGAAAGCCGCATTCATACCAGAACCTAACCCACTTCCATCAAGTCGATTCCAACTCATGAGGGCCCTGAATAGACCGGGCAGGTCTAGCCCACAGAGTTGCCCAGGCCATGACCACATGAAGTAGACCGCCATGTCTTCTTTCCGAAGTGCAGTCGGTGGGGTCAGACTGCCAACCTTTTGGTCAACAGCCAAGCGCTTCACCACTGGGACCACTGGGCTGCCGTGCTCCTTAAAAATGGCCTTAGGGAGGAACTCGAATTCGACCTTGCAAGTCTGGCTAGACCAGAGGAGGTGCACTGGTACAGATAGGAACTGAAAATACAGGGGATCCAGGGCGGATGACCCCTACAGGACCAGTGGTGTGAGTGCTGATACAGGGAGGGTAAAGGAAGAGTGGGTAGGACAGAGGGAACCGATTACAAGGAACTATATGTGACCTCCTCCCTGGGG